TGGGAGACCCTGCCGGGAACCGAAGTCCCCGTCGACATGGCCTGTGGGATCATTGATCCAGCGCTCCCGACATAAACACACACACCAGCTCGGGACCCCGGGTGCGCGAGACCCGTAACCTACAGGGGGGGCACATGACCCCCTTTGCAAAGTCCCTGAAGGTGCCCTCCTAAACTGGAGGGCCGGTGTACCTCCTACAGGAGGTACGGTCCGCTCTTGGCAACCCTCGCAAAAGTATCCTCTTGCGAAGGGTGAGCCCTCTCACCACGACAAGGTGGCGGACACAACGAGAGGGATATCAAACAGACCATGGAAAAAAAAAAAAAAAAAGTTTTGGGAAAGGCACTAAACCTCTTCCATTTAAACAGTAAGTTCTATATGTGTTTTTTTGTATTAATTATAAATATGATATTTTTGAATTAAACACATATGTTTAGGATTGAGATGAATTCGCCGCGCTCGATTAAGCAAAAATTCATGTCTCGATCGAAAATCTAGGTAAAAGCGATAGTCGCGGACCTAACGCTGCAGCACCTCGCGACACGCACCGCGGTAAGCGCCGCGGGAGCAAAATTTCGGCCAATTAGCGCGTTCCGCGTGAACCCTTTGCGAGCACGTGGTCGATAGCGTGATCGAAGAGGTACGCATTCCATCGGAGACAGTCGTCGTGAGAGAAAGTTGACAAGATGATCACAAGTTAGACTAAATATTCGTATAACGAAGTACGAAATAATTCGCGTTACGGTGTAATAAGTGCGTGAATTTACGACCGCGACGGATACGAGAAGCATCGCGCGGTATTCTGTGACATATCAAGTGTTAAAGTTAGCGGTTAATCGGATCTCGTTCGCGACGCAACATACACGTTTTCGCGACGAATTTGCCGCTATATTGTGCACGCCACGTGCACGTGATCGAACATTAGGATTATTCGAATCCTGCTGGAGGATTCAGTGCGATATTCGCGTGCAGTTGAATGCATGTCGTGCATCTCTCTTTTTTCTCTCTCTCTCTCTCTCCGTCTCTCTTTCTCATAATTGTCGTAACACGTTCTTGCGACAAATTCGCCGCTGTATTGTGCACGCCACGTACACGTAATCGATCCGTGCGATTATTCGAATCCTGCTGGAGGATTCATTGCGATATTCGTTTGCAGAAGAATGCATGTCGTGCATTCTCTTCTCTCTCTCTCTCCCGCTCTCCCTCTCTCCCTCTCTCATAATTGCCGTCACACTGTGCTTCCGATTTCCAAAATATTGCACGCGGTGTGCACGTGCAAGCGGCTAGTGATTCAACGATTCGGTCAGGATTGCTTGCATCATTCTCGTCGAGTGATTGCAATTCTGCGTTAATTCTGTTAATTAGTTGTCGTGGTAAAAAGTGATCGTGAACACGATAACTCAAGATAATTATCGAATCGCGTTAAATAATATGTGCGCGTTTTCGATAAATTATAACGGTCGTCCACAAGAGGACAAATTTGTTGTTGTACGCTTCGCTGTTGTGACTTTCAAATAAGAAATTGTTTTTGCGACCGAGGACATTGGTGCCGATATCGAACAAACATTTTTTTTGTGATTGCGAGCTTCGAAGCGAGTAATTGTTTTTGTACGACGCTTGGTGTACAATCAGGCGTTCGATAAGTGATCAATTGTTAAATGTAGATTTAGCTGCGTGTACAGCAAACGCTTTCGATTATCATATCGAGTTTTGTTTGTTTGTGTCAAGTCCAGGTGACTATCAGATGTGTGGCAAACAATAAAGTGATCTGTTATTGTTAATCAAGTTCAAGAGTCCTTTTCAATTCGGCTTCTGCGTAAATCACCAGTCTCAGCGCACACATGGGTGCGCGACCACCCTATTAAGATACAGTCCACTCAATAATTATATCCTTTATTGTCCATCCATCACATCTTTCATAAGATTTCTATGACTTTTTTCCAATAAATTTTTGAGAGGCGGCGCGTGAGACGCGGCCCTAAAAAGGTCGAGCACACTCATTTGTCGCAGCTTCGCGTCGGACCACGGTCCATGCCGCGCGTTCGCAACACATTATAATTAATAGTTCAGTCGATTTGTTTCATATTTTTATTTTGTCATTCTTACAATATTCTGTTTTTATTAAGTATTTAGTATTTAATGAGTAAGTAATAGAATACATATGTATCTTTACAGTGAAATGATAAATTTATCTGGAAAAAGTCACAGTGGAGTGCCATCTTTTGTAGCTGGCCACAATGGAATGGTTTCTCAAGAAGACATTTTGCAAAAAGTGGTCAGTCAACATTTGTCTCAGTGAGTAATCATCTCCTTAAAATGTTTTTTAATTCATTTCTAGATATATAATTTAAAATATTTTCTATTACAGGAATGTAAATGAAGAACAATCTTCTATTGCACTAGACTCGCCACCTTTGACACCATCTGCAGTTAACAATCAATCTCAATCAGTAATAGGTAGCAGCACATCGTCCATGACGGATAGCAGTTGCTCATCTTTAATAAATACAAAAGCAAAAGTACGAGATGGCAAATTGGCGCATACTCTACAATCAGTTAAGGAATCCATCTGTGCTGTGCTACAGAGAGAAAGTGATGCCAAACAAGAAACACGTACAAAATATCTGACGGAGCTTAAAAAATGTAATGAATTACAAATAGAACAATTACAATTGCAAAAAGAACGAAATAGTATCTTACAAAGGCAACTTAAGATACTAGAGAGAATAGAAAGTAAAACATACTCAACACAAGAATTATCAGACGAAGAAGATTAATAAGATATAATAAGACTGAAGGTTTACTAAATTATATGTATACATAAGACATTCATAAAGTTTGTTCCTTTGCCTACTTAAAGAAGAAAATGTAGTGAAACACATTTATTAATCTTTTCTACATATAAATTCTGCGAAGTTACACATTTTTCCTGACAAGATCTGTCGGATATAGTAATTATAAAAATAGACACATTGTCTTTTAAAAAATGTTAATCAGATATTATTACAAGTTTATAAAATTTATGAACAGTTTATTAAGTTTAATTTTAATTTTGTTAAAAGACAAATGTGTTGGTTTTTATAATACAATAATTATATCTGACAGATCTTTCATCACTGGGAAAAATGTGTAACTCTACAGGATTCAAAGGTAAAAAAAGCTAATAAATGTGCACATTTTCAATCACTTTATTCTTTACTTTATAACCAAAGTTACAAACTTTATGAACATTTCACGTAAATAAAGTTATATGTATTCAAAATTTATATAATTTTGTTAATTTTATTTAAAATTTTTATTTCAAGTTGAAATAATTTTTATTTTATTAAAGTTTATTTTAGTTTTTCATTTATTTATTTTCTGTTATTTTGATAAACAGCGTGACAAAGCTGTATCAAGCTCTGCAAGAGAGGAAAGCTACATTTACTTATTGAGTTCTTTTAGTTGAAAAAAGCTGCATTTATTTATTGAGTTTTTTTAATTGGGAAAAGCTGCATTTACTTATCGAGTTCTTTTTTACATAATAAAGCAGCATTATTACTTGCAGTCAAGCGTACAAAACTAGTGATTGAAAATCAAAACTGTCATTTCTTGTTCAATTTACATTTTTTTGTTAATTATCGATAAAAAATCAATAAAATATATATTTGCATTATGCAGTTATATTTCTCTATTTGTATGAAAAATAAGCGTATATGACAATAAAAGACTGATATATGGATAAATTTTAACAAAATTGTTTTATTTGTTGTCTTACATATTACATAAGAATTTATTTTATAAAATTAATATAAAACTTTAATAATTTTTAATAAATGAGCTGAATAGAAGATATATAATCGTAATATTCATAATTATTAATAAATAAAATATATTGTGTAATCGTTATGGTTATAATCGTTATAATCTTGAAACTATAATTGTACATTGTTTCCTAATTTTTATAACTAAAGAAACATAACAAATATTTGAAAGCACTTTGATAGTTTTGTACATTAAGTACATATCATACATATTTTTAATTGAACGACACAGATTGATACGATGCAGTATGTGATATGTCGACGTTGACAACGATACAATATCGATATTTAAAAAAATAATAAACATAATATTTAAATATTAATATTAGAACATAATATTTAAACAAATTTATTTGGATACTCTTATTCAAATCATCGTTGAAACAGTTGTCTACATAATTCGTTTCTGAGATCGCGACCATGTCGATCATCATCCGGATCTTCATTTCTATCTGCTGCTGGGACATTATGTAACAATACCTGCGCATTTATATCAGCATGGTTGTCGACTTCAGGTTCTTCTATGTGTTGCAGATCATCCAAGTCAGCCAAATTGTGAAGAACGCAGCAAGCGAAGATGAATTTGACGATAAATTGCATATTCCTTAACTTGAAGAAATATAACTGTCTGAAACGTTGTTTCAGTATTCCAAATCCATGCTCAACTGAAATTCTGCATTGACTGTGTATACGATTAAAATTTCTTTGGGCCGGTGTCAAATGTCCATTATCCCGATATGGAGTAATTAATTGGAAAAGGCATGGATATGCAGCATCTCCAAGAAGTATGCTTCCATCTAAAATAAAAGCATGTATATTTAAAATTAACAGCTAAGGCTAAGGCTGCTTTTTGATATTCATTCTGCTAGTCGAAAATCTATAGTTTATATTATGTACTACAGATTTATAATACTGGTAGTAAATATCAAAACGTAGCTTATGAAAACATTTACAGTAAAGTATATATTTTAATCATAAATCTTACAGATATGGCAATGCATAGTCAACCACATCTACATACATAGAAATACTGAAAAATGTTTCTTTTTTTAATCTCCTCCGGACACTTTTGAATACAGAAACTATAGATAATTACCAGTTCATATCTATAAAATATCTACGATTTTAACCGAATTGAATAAGAAATATAAAAATATTTGATTAAAATACAGTAATTAATTATGAATGTAATAAGTTCATATTTCCACAAAATATTGGCAAATCTTCAGCCAAACTGGAATTTGCAAATACTCTTGCATCGTGCACTGAACCAGGATAGCCAATTAATACATCTAAAAACTTCTTCTGTTTATTAACGGTCCCTTGCATGTGTACAGAAAAATAATGCTTTCTATTGATATAAGCCACTGGGTCTTCAGAAGGTTTGTCAATACGGATATGTGAGCCGTCAATACATCCTATAACAGAAAAGAAATACATTAAATGAATTAATATAATTAGATTACACATACTGGATTACAAAACTGTGATAAATTAAATATATCATCAAAGAAAATCACATTATTACCAATTACTCCTGGAAAACCTTTACTTTCAAGATAGTATCTTTGCGTTCTTTGTTTCTTTACTTCAGTAGGATACCGAATAACTTTATTCCTCATATCATACAAAAACTGTGTAACCCTCCGTAAGACAGATTCAAGAGTACTAAGAGAGAGATCGAATCTGTCAGCAACATCTCTGAAACTAGCACTTTGATGGCCAGCAAACCATAAAAAAGTGAGAATATGTTTTTTAGCTGAAACTACCTTAAATCCTCCATTTCCTATAAAATATTAATCAAACTTTATTCAAAATAAAGTCCAAAATTTTTTTTAGTATATATACATATCTAATTTTAAAAAATCAATACTTACCTCCTAAATTTCTAAAATATAGTCAATGATTAAATTTCTCTACCATACTCATAAAAAGCGTTCTTTTCAAACAAAAATGCATAACAAATTCTCTATCTGTATACATAGGCACTGTATTTTCAATGTAATTGGTTATGCATGTCCTATGTATTCTTTGAACAAAACCTTCTGCAATTTCAACAATTGCGTTAATGGCAATATCTGCAAATACAAATTATATAAAATTCAATAAAAATGCACAAATTACTTAAGGAAAAATGAATTTAAAATTACAAGATTTTTAGAGATTACACCAAAATTAGAAACGTCACATCTTTATCATTAATACTCACTTTCTATTTTATCGTCGTTCCCATTGTCTTCTAACAATTCACCAATTCCTGCCAAAGGTACAAGATTTTCTGCAAAAACGTCATCATTAATATTATTTATTATTATAATGCGAAAACCGTCAAAAAAACCTAGGCGATCCATGCTGTCAAAACCTAACCTAATCGGTCAATGATGTACGATGTGCGATTGGAAGGGAAGGGTGTGCTCAAATCCGTTCGTGTCACTGAGCGTTGGTGCACATAAACCCATCTGATCCAACCGCCATCTTATCTGTGATCCAAGTGCTCTCTGGTGTACATTGGAGCATGTGACGCGAACAAACTTTATGAATTGTTAAATAAATCGCAAAACATTATTGATACTATAATTATTTGGTGAATAACATTATTGATAATAATAAGAGAAATAATAGAAAATGGTATTGTGATTGTGATTGAAACAAACATTTTTCCTAAACAGAGTTTGATTATAGTATAAGTTTCTTGATTTAAAATGTGCTATATTTAAATTATTTAATTATTTTTTTCGTTCAAGTACATTTAACAGCAAAAACTGCATATACGTAGGTATGTATAACTCTACTCTCTACTGCCATTACTTGAAACAAATACATTATTTGATATTAACAAAGTGGAACTCTGGAATTACGAGTAATTATTTTTCATTGTACAGACTAGGTTTAAATTTTTGAGGACCTTCTTTTGAACATGGCTTGACCTTTTCATTTTTATGATTTTTTGGAGATAGGGTGAGAGAGGACGAATGAGGGTAAGAGAAGACGAGATAGGCGAAAGAGGGTGAAAGAGGACGAAATTGGGTGAAAGAGAGCGAAAGAGGACGAAAGAGACGAAAGAGAGTGAAAGAGGGTGAGAGAGAATGAAAGAGAGTGAGAGAGAACGAAAGAGGGTAAGGTAGGACGAAAGAGGACGAAAGAGGTGAAAGGACAAAAGAGGGTGAAAGAGGACGAAAGAGAGTGAAAGAGGACGAAAGAGGGTGAAAGAGGACGAAAGGGGGTGAGAGGGAATGAAAGAGGGTGAAGAAGGTGGTGAGAAGAGATGAAAGAGGGTGAGAGAGGACGAAAGATGGTGAAAGAGGACGAAAGAGGGTGAAAGAGGACGAAAGAGGACGAAAGAGGGTGAAAGAGTCGAAAGAGGACAAAGAAGTGAAAGAGGACAATAGAGGACAATAGAGGGTGAGAGAACGAAAAAAACTGAAAAATAGGACGAAAAAGGGTGAGTTAGGGCAAAAGAGGGGTGGGATTGGGGGTGGGTGGACGGGATGGGGAGGAAAGGGTGGGTGGAAGTTGAGGGAGGTGTGAGTGAAAGGAGAGAAGAGATTTATAATATATATATAATCTTGATGACGTCAGCGACGCGGACAGAGAAGAAAGAAGAGAAGACGACGTTACTTCCATTTTTCATGAAAAACGTCACTTTTTGACCGCTTGTATGTCCAGAACGGCTTGACCGATTTTATTCTTCTTGGCTCAAATTACTCGTGGCGATGCCGCTTTTAGGTTATATTACGTGCAATTCAAAATTTTTTATATTTAGTAGTTTTCTACACCCCCAAAAAATGGACTTTGATGGTGCAGGATATGAGACTTGTAGTGTCTTTTAAGGTCTCTTAGGGTTTGAACATGCCGAGACACTACCGCGTCTCCTGATAATGTAATATATATAGATATACAATAATAAGATATTTTAAAAGTGAAGTGATGAATTGGTTCGGGAATTGATTGAGAATTTAAAAAATTGATATGAACATAGCTCCGGAAATGTGTTGATTTCGAGATTAAGAGATAACACCATTTTTATGTTAAAATTTCAAATTACTCTACTTTAGAACTTTTTGTCAAAATTGAAAGAAGAGGTGGCTTTCACAAATTTTGATAGTTTTTACGTTTTTAGTTATGTTATAAATTTTAGAAATCATCTCTTTTAATTTTGACAAAAAGTTCTAAAGCAATAAAGTAATTTGAAATCAACATAAAATGGCGTTATCTCAAAATCAACACATTTTCGGAGCTATGTTCATCAATTCTTTTTTTTTGTTTTTGGATTCTCAATCAATTTCTGAATAATTAATTATTCCATTTTTAAAATACCTTATATATGTAATCTATTATATACATTATATATATATGTATATTATAATAATATATTTTTAATAATATTATTAAGACGATTTGGCAGAAAGTATCTTAGCATATTTCATGTAGACACGTTAATGACATAAACCAAACATTACGTCTACAGAATGAAGCCGGAATTTGCGAATGAGATAGTTGATTTGCTTTTAGTGCTTTCTTACTCTATCATATTGATCATATTTTTTCTATATGATAGAATGAGCAAGTACTAGGGGAAATCAACTATCTGACTTGCAACTTTCGGCTTCACTCGCTGCTACAACAGAAGTATAGGAATATTTAGAATTAGTCTATGTATATACGGCATTGATTATACGCGAGTTCGGTGGTTCGGCCGTCGAGCTTTAAACGTGGAGGGATCGGAGGGATCACCTCAGATATCGGTCCAAAAATCTAATTCTGAGCACACTGTTTTAGACTGAAGAGCTGAGTCGTATAGGAGGATCCAACGTAAAGGAGTTGATTAAAAGAATAATGTATAGAATTCTATTAAACGAAGTCGGAATGCTATACTCTTGGGAAGGTGCGAAAAAGAAAAAAGCATTCAAAAATTTAAACATTGCAGCTGTCATTTTAGGTAAAGGTCATATAGTTAAATAGATAAAAATAATAAATAATCTTATAAATTAAACATTCTTGTTTTATAAAATATACATTTTATTAATTTTTTATGATTTTCAGATGTCGTTCGTAAAAATCCAAAAATTCAAAGCGCCACTGAACTCGAAGCAATAAATCACATAAAAGCTTGGCTCGTCAGAAGTAAGGATCGATACTTTAATGCACAAAAAAAGATTAACCAAGTTCAACCTAACCCACCTGCTAATACTCAGGACGACGAAGATACGTAGCCATTTACATTCATAAAATATGTGTTTTCAACGTACGTAAATTTTATTTTCTTTTGAACAGACTGATAGTCTAGTCTTGACTAAGCATTACTATTTTTATATGTATTGTTATTACATATAAAATTTATAAACATATTTTTAATTTTTAATTAATATTAATCTATTATAAAACATGAACTGAAAAATATAGTTGTTTTTAGTTTGGATAATAAATTTAGTATTAAATGCAGGGAATTAGTTATCATTTATAGTAATTGAGGTTATTAAAGCTTATAGTATTTTATAGTATATATATGTTCAATATTTTGAATTAAAATAAATGAAAAAGAGTTTCAAAGAAAAACGGTGTAGATATATTGAAGAAAAAGTAAAGCAATCAGTAGCAATTATTAACAGTACTTATCAATTTCATGTTCCAATTTAACGGTTGAAAATAAAATGATAAACCAATCGGTACAGCTACTCAAATAATAAAGTTACTTATAATTCTGATACCGAGAACATTGGTTCGAGTTATGTAGACATTGATAATTTGACGTTCGACGAACAACCCACCCATAGTTCTGATAGCATAATTAGAAAAACAAGTTTATGTTCAGATCATGTTGAAAATAGTGAGCAGTTATCTTGCAAACTTGCTAAATGGACTGTAGAAAACAACATTAGTTTATCTGCACTGAGAGAGTTGCTTACTATTTTGCGCGAAGATCCTAATTCTTATTGCACCAATAATATACCAGCAGACCCTCGCACTCTTTAAAAACGCCTAACAAAGCATATGGTACAAAAATGGGATTGGGTTTATTTCACTATTTTGGGATAGCTGAAACATTAAATTCTTTATGCATTGCTCTTAATATAAATGTAACGTCCAGCACAGAGTTTTCTCTTGCAGTTAATATTGATGGGCTACCTTTGAGTAAAAGTTCTGCAAGTTCATTTTGGCCCATTTTGTGTTCCGTCAAATCAATCGAAGCCCTTAAAAATAAAGTTTTCTTAGTAGCTCTTTATCATAGACATGATAAACCAAATTCCAATGATTTTTTACTTGATTTTGTTAATAAATGTGCAAAGTTAACAACAAATGGCATATTAATCAAGACCGTTATATGCAAATTTAAAATTGAAATGTTAATCTGTGATACACCTGCAAAATCATTTGTACTATCACTTAAAAGTCATTCAGGCTACTTTTCCTGCACAAAGTGCAATCAAGAAGGAGAAATGATTAACAATGTTATTTGTTTCGTTGAAACGGAAAATCTTGTAAAAAGAACTAATAATTCTTTTAGAAATAAACTTTATCCAGAACATCACGTTGGTGAAACTCTTTTCATTAACATTCCAAACTTTAATTTTATTGATAATGTGCCCTTGGACTATATGCACAATCTTTTGTTAGGCGGAACTAAGAGATTGCTATGCAATAGACGCTATGGGTGGATATTCGGTAGACCTCCTCACAAATTACGTGCAAAGGATGTTAATGATATTACTAATTTGCTTCTTAAACTAAGAAATATATTCCTTGTAAATTTTCACGAAAGACTCGATCTATAGTAGAATGCAAGCGATACTAAGGCTACTGAATTTAGACTCTTTTTACTATATACAGGTCCAATAGTCTTAAAACAAGTACTGTCTCCTAAAGTTTACAATAATTTTATTACCCTTAGCTTAGCAAGCACTATCTTAATTAGTAATTATTATTCAAAGTATGAACATTTTATTTCTTACGCTCACGAGCTCATGAAGCATTTTATTACTAATTCTATTCAAATTTATGGTCCAGATTTCATTTCTCATAATATACATATTTTTTGCACTTAACTGATTGTGTAAAATTATTTGGTTCGCTAGACAATTTTAGTGCATTTTCATTTGAAAATTTTATGCAAAATTAAAAAAATGGTTCTAAATCTTCCCAACCCTTACAACAAGTTGTTCGTCGAATCGTTGAAGAGAATAATATTTTAAGACCTACTAAGAATACTGATGATAATTTGTCTACAGAATTGTTAATGGAACATTCTGATGGCCCTTTATAAATACTTGTAATCCTCCTCAGTACAAAAAACTTAAAACTGCCGAATATTGTTTAAATATTAATAGAACTGCTGACCGATTTGTAGAATTGAAAAATAAAACAATAATTGAAATAAAAAATTTTGTTAGCCATAAAAATTCAACAGTTCTGTTAGGTTAT